ACTACAGTTATGCTACTTTTAGCTATCGTTATGCTACTTTTAGCTACCGTTATGCTACTTTAAGCTACCGTTATGCTACTTTAAGCTATCGTTATGCTACTTTTAGCTTTTAGCCAGCATTTTGCTGCTTGTACTATAGTTGCTGGTGGCCTTTGATATTTCTACACAGATTATTGACTTTTAGCTTTTTCTGCTTTGAAATGTTGTTGTTCTGATTTTTAGCTTTCAGCTTTTCCAGCTGTTGTTCTCCGCAGACGTTCATTTAAATATGAATTATTGTTAAAGTGTCTTTCTGTGAGTTTTTGCAGCTTCAGCTTGTTAAAACTTTTGTAAAAGTTTCCCAGATGAACAGGAAGTACGACAGAGAATGTAAGTTCTGACAAAGTGACTTCCTGTGGTTCTGAGGAACCAGCTGGGTTTTTGCAGCAGATCTAACCAGCACTTCTTTAATGGCCTCCTTGTGGCCTCAGTGAATTAAAGTTGATATTTTCTGGTCAGACGTCAGAGCTGCGGCTCGTACCTTGGCTGTGGCGGCGGCGAACATCTCTGGTAACGTCACAGGGACGGCGAGACTCTGGTCATCAGTGGAAACTTCAAACGCCGTCTCCAAACACTGGACGGCAACTGAAAGAACAAAAAGTCTCAAAATAGCATCTTTATCGTCAAAATAAAACCTTTAAAGACAGAATCGGATGCTCCTTGTTCGGTTCTTCGGCTAGTATTTTATCACACCGACCCGTTTGCTCACACGTCTGCGCTGACGGGACTTGAGGTTCTGGTCTCAAATTACTGGAACGACAGCAAAACATGGAGTCAGGGCTGCTGAGGACTCACCTTCCAGGCTTTCCTGAGCATCCGGGGTCAGACTCCCCGACCGGAGCTGGTCATGGAGGAAATGGATGATGGAGAAGGCGAGACGCTTGTTGTCCGTCATGGTGACGGAGACGCCTGGAAGACAAGCAGAAGACACCAGAGTCCAGAGGTGGGACTTCATGACAAACACACAGAGGCCAGTTTCTGTCAGAGGAGCTGAGGTCAGAGGTCATAAAGGAAGGGGGTGGGGGGGTCCTTCATGCATTTAGACAGGTAAACCCAAAGACTCGTTTCAAACAGGTGTCTCCTGTAAACGAGTCCTCGAGGCTCAGTGGGATTTACCGTCTAAATAAAGGTTGAATGAATGAAAAAAACATAAAAATATTTTATTTTCATTTTTGGTCAGACACAATAATTCACTTTGGAAAAACCCAAATGAAAACGACATCAAGCTGCACGTCTCCATCAGGAACCACGAGCTCTGGCTGTAGAAAGCAGAACATCGGGCGATGGACATGAAACTCTTAAAAACTGAGAAATGCTCCCCATAAACATCCATCAAAGTTCAATCCTGTTTGGACCTCCAGCTCAGATGTCCCAGCAGAACCATCATCAGGGTCCCAGGCAGTTGGACTCTCCGTGGCTGAACTGGTGTCTGAACTACGATCACGTGGAGTTCACCACTGAACGATGATGATGCCGCACTCAAACTCTGATTTCTACCATCTGTCCTCTTCTTCTGCAGTTCCTCCAACCCAACTAGACTTTTCTGTCTCTTCCGCTCAGAGTGTCTCTCTGCTGTAGGAATGACGTCAGTCCTACAGCAGAGGTCAGAGGTCACACACACAAGCCCCCGTTGACTTCCAAATACCTGAGCTCAGAGTTTTCTCTTCCAAACAGTGAAGGCTCGTTTTACCTTTAAAGCCTGCAGAACCATCAAACAGAACCTGTTACAGACACGTCTCCCACTTGTATTGTGGTTTATATTGTTCTCACAGCAGCAGTTTGTCAGACAGGTCTGCTCCAGCATCTTGTAGTTACTTTGTGTACGTTTCCTCGGTCCCTTAAAGAGGCTGCCATCGGTGGATGAAGGTCCGTGTGGCCCACCGGCAGCTCGGATCAGTCCGTCACAATGTTCTGGCAGCTCAGGTTTAAGTTGAAGCCATCACAAACCTGATCTCATCGTTGACTCAGAGGATCAAACCCACATTAATCTGTTGTCCTGTCGAACCTTTGAGGAATCCGCCGCCAGATTTATATTAACACATGAAAGTGTTCGAAATGTTCTCTAACGAGAGCCGAATCAGAAAACTGCTTTCTACAAATAAATGAGCTTGTTGGCTTTTTCTCCAATATGCGTGAGGATCGATTCCGAACGTGTTTCGATTTTTTGTGGATTTTTCTGAGGAGTTCGGCGTGATCGCCACCGCACGGTACTAGCGTTCAGAGCTAACGGTTTGTCCAACGGAATTTCGGTCCTGTCGTGAAAATAAGCTCGTACCGGTTCCGAACCGGAGCTGGAAACGCAGCTACCCGCCGCTCTTACCTGAAGTCTCCGTGTTCCAGGTGAGAAACCGCCAGGTAAAGCCCCGTAGAACCGAAGTTAGCTTCTCTCTGCTGCGTAGCCCTTCTGCTAATCACAGATGACGCGAGGTGATGACGTCACGAGAGCGCGTGGTGATGACGTTAGAAGAAAATTTTCCTTTTTCAATTTCACCTGTTAGTGTCATTGAGCCTTGAGGACGCGTTTACAAAAGAGACCTGTTTTAAACAAAGAACACAGATTACAACAATAGACAATCATAAAAAAAAACATAAAATGTTAATAAAAATAATTAATAAAGTATATTAAAAAACGAAAAAAAAAAACCAGCTACATTATAAAGTGATGTAAAATACTAAAAACAGGAACATGTCTGCGTTGGGTTTTGCCATGAGCTTAGCAGATGTTTGAGGCCATTTAGAGGTCAAGGTCGAGAACTTCAGATCTTTTTCTTTAAGAATACATAATAGAAACAATCTTCTAAAAGATCATTTAAATTATAACTTTGAGATACGATGTCATAAACATGAACAAACATTTTATATTTATGAAACACTAAGTCGTACCTTTTAAATATGACCCGTTAGATTTGTTTATAAAATGTTTTGGGCTTGTAAGTTAGTTTGGTTTAAAAGTGTGATGGAGACCCGACATGGTCCCAGACTGTGGAAGCACCGGGAGCTTCTGGTGATGAAGATACACAACATTTAGATCACTCCACGTCAAAACAGAACCTGAAGTACAACCATTTTCTGCTGTTTCTGAACTTTGAGCTGGAGAAAATCTCAAGGTCTGACGCAACAATTTAATAAAGTTTAATGATGTAAAACTTGTCAGAGTTGGAAATACTTCACATTTTTATTGTTTGTGACAAAAGTTAAAATTAAAAACAAGATCCTTTTCAGGTTAAAATGATCAGATCTGCTTTTTTAAACCAAGTTTTTGTTGGAAGGTTAAACTCTGTGGACTCTTTCATCTTTCACTCGTTTGTTGACGATCCAGACTTCGATCACAGAATTAAAACAGTTGATCCGGTTTGTCAGAACCACAGAACGTCATCCTGAAGTAGTATCTTGTTCTGAGTCCAAGACCTCCTGAGAAACGTTGGTCTCAGCAGGATCCAAGTCCTGATCTGAGTTGTTGGTTTGAACATGATGGAGGTCCGGATCAGAACCTGAAAAGTTCTCCGTTTGATCCAGAACCACCAGCGTGTTCCTCCCTCCTCCCTCCTTCGGACTCTTGCCTCCCCTGCGGCTCCGGAGTCCCAGACGCAGCAGACTGCGGTGCACCGTGTGTTCGGACACCTTCCTGTCAGAACCGGCGTTCACCTCCTCAGCAATCTGAGCCACGGTGGCCTTCTTGTTAGACTGGACGAGCCGGGCCAGCCTCCGCTCCCCGCGTTCGTCAATGAGCCTGGGCCTGCCGTGACCCTGGCGCTGGTTGACCAGCTTCCCCTGTCTGGACCACCTCTGGAAGGTGCTGACCACGGCGGAGCGCGAGCACCCCACCACAGACGCCGTTTTGGAGATGCTCCGCCCCAGACGTCTCGCCATCACAATCTGACCCTTCTCAAAGTCGCTCAGGTCTTTCCCCTTCCCCATGTTCACCTCTTCTTCAGGGACAAGAAGTTCACCTGCTGCCTGACAAGCCCCGCCCACAGCCTACTGCCATGGTAACCAGGTAGGCATCAGTTCAGCAAGGTCGGTGGTGATCCCTGCAGTAAGTCGGTCCTTCTGCACAGGAAAATCAAAGGTTCAGGACAGACTGGATGGGGGCGGGGTCTAACCTCAGAACCTGAGGTGGTCTGACCTGAGAGGGTCACCAGAGTCCGGGTCACAGCACCAAACCTTCACTGTTCTCCAGTCCAGTTTTCAGTACTGCCTAGAAAAAGAACAGGAATATTTAAAATTCTGAATATTTAAAAACAAAGTTCTTTACAGAGTTCAGGATCAATACATTTAAAAACTAAATAAATAAACTTCAGGCCTGGAATGCTTATCACCCGCCGCCAGTTACAGCTGATTTCATTAAACCTACAATGTGTCACGTGACGTCCTGAGATATTTATGGTGGTTAGGGATGACTCCCAGCTACTACCACCTCAAACCTGAGCCTAATATCCACAGAACTGACTCTGAGCAGCGAAACGACCAACACTGTCCCCTCTGGTTCTGGATCTGGGTCCAGGTGGCGCCACGGAAGAACCCGCGTCCTGAACCCTCAGAAACTCACGGGTCCTCAGAGTTAACTTTCTTTTTACAGAAATAAAATCAATTAACAGAAAACACAACTATTTATTGATAATTCAACAGTGAAACGGATCAGTTGTAGAACTGATAAATCAGGTCTGAGAAGTGGACGAGGTGCGGGTTTTCACTGTCCGGGTCCTAAAACTCACTTGGGTTCTGACATACCTAAAAGGAGCCACAAACAGAATCAGACACCGGTTCGGGTGCTTTGGTTCCGATGGTTAGCTAACCTTGTTCACCACAACAAGAAGAAACCCAGGAGAAAACTGACATCCAAACTACGGCGTCCCTGAAAGGACAAACCAGACAGAACGGGTCTTTCCAATTAAATGAAAAGGGCGCGAAGTCGCCATCTTGTGTTGGATCCGTGAAACTTAAAAAACAGTTCAACTGATTTGCCAAAACATTATGACCATGTCGTGCGGTTGGTTCAGTGAAAATGAGTGTAAGGTCCAAAGTGTGAGTGAAGACGTCATATGGGCTGACAGTTTTCATGCCATTTTGAAATTAAGATAATTTTATGTTGGAAAATGACAGTTATTGCTCTTTTGGTCAAACTTTGAAAATGTACGAATGATTGGCTCCCTGTCAAATACAGAATAGAATTCAAAATCTTACTTCTAACCTACAAAGCTCTCAACAACCTAGCTCCATCTTATATTACAGATCTTATTTTCCTAACAGAGCACTTCGCTCTCAGGCTGCAGGTTTACTTGTGGTTCCTAGAGTTTCCAAAAGCAGAGCGAGAGGAAGATCTTTCAGTTATCAGGCTCCTCTCTTGTGGAATCAACTTCCAGTTTCTGTCTGTGAGGCTGACACATTGTCCAGTTTTAAGAATGGGATTAAGACTTTCCTTTTTGATAAATCCTAAAGCTGACATAAGCAGACATATGCCAAGATGGCCGTGCTCAGCCGAGCCGTAGCTTCACAGGCTACTGGTGAAGGTGAACTAGATATTTTTTGTTCCTGTTGGTTTTGTTTTAACTTTTTTTTTTTTTTGGTGCCTACAATGCACATCCACAGTACGGGTATGACACACACTGTGGAGTTTCCTGTGTCACTGCCTTGTCATCCTGTCATCGTGGTTCAGCCCTTCCAACCTCTGGCTCAACTGTCATGGCAGCTGTCTCCATGATCCTCCACCTGCCTGCACGGACCGAACGCTGCTAACAAGACCACACCACTGCTAGTATCATGCTGCTAACTGGACCATCTTACTAACTGGACCATGTTACTGGATCATGTTACTAACTGGACTATGTTACTGGACCATGTTACTAACTGGACCATGTTACTAACTGGACCATGTTACTGGACCATGTTACTAACTGGACCATGTTATTAGACCATGTTACTAACTGGATCATGTTACTAACTGGACCATGTTACTAACTGGACCATGTTACTGGACCATGTTACTAACTGGACCATGTTACTGGACCATGTTACTAACTGGACCATGTTATTAGACCATGTTACTAACTGGATCATGTTACTAACTGGACCATGTTACTGGACCATGTTACTAACTGGACCATGTTATTAGACCATGTTACTAACTGGATCATGTTACTAGACCATGTTACTAAGTGGACCATGTTACTGGACCATGTTACTAACTGGATCATGTTACTAGACCATGTTACTAAGTGGCTTCAAACATCTGTTAAGTTCCTGCAGATGTTACTGTTTTTAATTTTGCACACTGCCACAACCTAGATGTTTTTTTTGTAACTTTAAATACCATTTTACTTTCACTTGTTAAAAAAAAATCAATTTGTACGAATCCTTTATGATTGTCTACTGTTGTCATCACTCTTTATTAAAATCAGGTCTCTCTTGTAATGTAGAAAAATAGGGTGAATGAATGAAAATCAGTTTCTGTCGGATCGAAACGATGTGACACCACCGGAAGTGCAGATGGGGCTAGCAGCTTTAGCATTGTTAGCTCATTGTGTGTTTGTAGCGGTTTATGTAAATGAGAGGTGAATGTTTGAGTGTGTGCAGCAACAATGTCTTCAGTTCA